AGCAAAATTTAAAAGGCAAGATACAAAAGTCTACCTTTAACCTAGTAAAATTTAAAAGGTAAGATACAAAAGTCTACTTTTAACTAGGCAAAATTTAAAAGGTAAGATACAAAAGTCTCTTCCTAACCTAGTAAAATACACAAGTTAAAAGGTAGAAGTTAAGATACAAAAGTCTACTTCTAACTTAGTAAGATTTAGAAGTTAAAATACAAAAGTCTACTCTTAACCTAGTAATATTTAAAAGTTAAGATATAAAAGTGCACTTTTAATCTAGTAAAACTTAAAAGGTAAGATGTAAAAGTCTACTTTTAACTAGGCAAAATTTAAAAGGCAGAATACAGAAGTCTCCTTATAACTAGGTATAAAGTTAGGATTTAAATATCTACTTAATAATATCTAAAAGTTAATATATAGATTACTCTACTACTTTAGAGACTCTTAAATTAAAGTATTAAAGTACTGTTATTATAAAGGAGTTTAAGAAAAAAGTATACAGAATCTTATAATTCTTAAGTTTAACTAATGCTTTAACCTATATAATACCTTATTTATTTAGTATTTATAATACTTAATAAGAATATGTAATATTCTAAATTTTTTTTCTATTTTATCTTATAAGAGGTATTTAAATGTAACTACTTAACAAGTAGTTATTTAGGCTAACTTACTATTTCTACCTCTCTACTACTATTAATAGACAGTATATAAGTAATTAAATATATAGTACCTTTAGCTAGATACGCCTTTAAAGTAGAAGTAATAGATAATATAATAACTCTAGCTTATATCTAAGACTTTTGCACACACAGTCTCCTAAAATAATATACTAATAAACACGTTTACTTGTATAAAGAACTTAACTTAGCTACTACTTATAAGCTTAGATATTAGCTACTTAACTCTACCTTACGTACTCTTAGCTCTTCTCTATTACTATATTAGATATAGTAAGCTGTTCCTACAGAGCACGCCTATCTATCTGTATAACGTATATATATCTAAATAGTACTACACTTATACTAGGTAGCTCTATATTATCTAAAGAGAGTAATATAGATAATAAGGTAAGCAAAAGTAGTAATAGTAATTGCTAGATTAATGCGTATATAAACTAGAATAGTACCTATAGCGCACTTAGCAGGATAATATCTATAAAGATAGCTAAAAATACAACCTATAATTACCTTAATAGGCCTTATAAAAATATATACTAAAACAGGAATAGTAAATTAATTCTAATAGATAATATAGATACCTGCCTACTCTTTCTAGTATTATAGAATAATATAGATTGTACTTAAGAAGAAGCAGATAGTGCAGCAAGATAGGAGAAAGGCCTTACAGGGTTTAAAAACGTATATATATTAGAAAGACCTTATAGCTTTAAGCCTAAATACTAATACGTATTAGTAGATAGGGTTTAATTTAATTATATTAATTTAATCTAAGATATCTATAATATCTAGGAGTTAGTTACACTCTTACTAGTAATTAACCTAGTATACCTAGTAAAGTTAAAAGAATTACAACACTATACTCCTAAGTTAACTATTTTATTATATAGGAATACCTTGTGCTTTATTATTAAAGCTATAGAAATAGGCGTTACAAGTAGGCCTAGTAAACACAGCTGTATTATACAGCTAGTAAAATAGTGTAGTAGGGTCTTACCTATAACTAGAGAACTGTTTAGTAATCCTATATAGCTAAATATAAGTATAATATTACACTAGCTCTTTGCAATCCTATTTTAGTAGCTGCTAGGAGTTATATTTTAGTATATATAAGGAGCTAAGTATAGAACTATATAGAAGGATTAGTGTTATTACTACTAAAATAGAGGTAGCATATTTAAGTATTATTAATAAGCGCTAGACCTAATAAAGAGGAAGTTTCTTTTTAGTAAAAAGAATTGTGTAAATTGCTTTATAGATAATACAGAATATATCTAGATACCTATACTAACTATAAATAGGAAGAGTAATAGCTAGACAGGGAAAAGTATAATAATTAGGATAAGAAGGAAGGTAATATTAACACTAAGTAAGACTAGGGGAGGATTATAGGCTAAGCAGAGTAAGCTAATAGCAAGAGTTAAGAAGTAAGAGGCATTACTATTTATTATTATATAAACCTGTAATACTGCTTTTAAGCTCCTAACCTCTAGAAAAACTATAAACAGTAATATATAGCTATAGTAAGGCTACACTATTAGGTAAAGGCAAAGATCTTAATTCCTAACTCTACCTTCTACCTCTAACTCTAACCTATTAACTGTATACTATATTCTCTACTTTTCTAACGTTAGTCCTTTATCTAATAATATACCTTTATATATAACCTTAACTATAACTTTACTAACATGCTCTCTACTATAAGCCCCCTAATAATACCTACTACTAGTTTTATTATATAAGGAGTAGCCTGTAAATAACTAAAGTAAAGAGGGCCCTCTTCTCTACTATATAGATAGGTTACAGTAGTATCTAACCTAGATATACCTAGCAACACAGTGCAGAAGAACTACTTACTATAGTATAACTAAAGAATAAGAAACTATAATAGCTAATATAGCGTAGGCTACTATAGCAGAACTAAGTAATATATTAGATATTTTAATAAGAGTAGGGTACCTAGTCCTAGTAGCAACTGCGTGTAAATTCTAAAGTTAATAAGGGTAAAGGTTATAGTATATAATTCCTATATATAAATTAGAGAAAAATTATAACTAATAAATATATTACAGCTGTTTATTTTAGTATCCTAGAGAAGTAAACTATTCTTATTAAATACAGAGGTTTAGATAACTACTAGCTTTCTATAATAAATATTCTCTATAACCCCTCTAATAATCTTGCTGCTCCTAATTATAAACCTATACTTAATTACTAATACTCTACGTATAAGGGCTGTAATAAGCTGTAACTAAGTATTAAGGCAGAGGAGTATTAGTTATAGTGCCTATGCTGCGTAGGAGTATATATAGAGGCAAGGAGAGAGGTAATAGCCCTAAGAAAACACAGATAGCTAATACCCCCTATATATAAAGAGCGTAGTAGATAACTACTAGGTATAGAGCTAGTAGATTAACAGTATAAGCACTTATAAGAGGTAACTATTAAGGCAAGAATAAAGGAATAGGCTAGAAAGCTTTAGGTATAAAATAGATAACTAGGGCTATTAGAACAGAAGGTAGATAGATAATATATAGTATAGGATAAGCAGTGCAAAGATTAATTTAATATAAATAATAGGTATCTATCCTAGTATAATTACTGCACAATAAGAAAATAAGGCTATAGTATTAATATATAAGCTCTATTATATACTTTAGATATTTCTACTTATCTCTACTATCCTATACTTTATTCTTATCCTTACTATCTCTATTTCTATTATTAATACTGCTACTGTTATTACTACTACTCTTCTTACCTATCTATAGGTTACTCTCTCTTCTAGGATCTAAACCTAAATCCTATACCTTAGTCTACTGTATAGTAGAACCTAGGGGTAGTACCTCCTCTAAGAGGTTAACTAGGTCCTACCTATCTATCTTATTATTATCTATATCCTCCTATATTATGCGTGTAGGAGGAGCCTCTCTGTTAATATACTTAAGGAAAAGAAACTCTATAGTAATAGATATAGTAGTAATATTAGTGTTGTACTTAGAGAGTATCTTAACCTACTAGCTAAGCTATTTCTACATTAGTATCTACTCTACAAAACTATTAGAGATAACAGCCCTAGGAAGTAAGCTAAATATACTCTAGCTAAACGCCTTCTTTAGTATATACTACTTCTTGCCCTAGTTAAGATAATAGCTAAATAGCCTCTAGTTAGCTAGGTTAGAGTAGTAATTAATAGTAAAGAAATTACCTATATTAGTAAAAGTAGTAGTAAATAGATACTCCTTAGCCTACGTTACCCTACTAATACCTTATGTAGAGGGCTTATATTACTATTTAATTAGTTGCTTAAGCTAGATATACTCTATATATAGTAGTATTATTACTTAGCAGTACCTTATATTATCTATAATACTAACAGCCTTAACTATATATATAGTGTAGAATAGGTTGTAAAAGCTAGCCTACTTAAAGCTGCTTAGGCCTAGGGCATTAGATACACTAGGCTGGCTAGGGCTAATACAGAAGATAATAGCCTTATATATACTAGATACGTCCTTGCCCTCTAAGTTATTAAACTAGTTATTAGAGGGAAGGGTAAGTATTAGCTTAGTAAAGAGCTTATTACTAGCGTTATACTAGAGCCTCTATATAGCTAGAATAGTGTACTAGTCCTTAATAGCCTTAGTCTAACTAATAGCTATACCCTTAGAAATTATAGTAGCAGTTATATCTATACCAGTACCTAGTATCTTTAGCATAAAGTTATAATAGTATTACTCCTCTATAGAAATAGTAATAAGACTATACTTTGCAATAGCCTGCTCTTATAAGCTTATAACTATCTATATAAGCTTAGTGTTAAACTTCTTTAGCAGCGCCTTATTAGCCTAATGCGTTATCTTCTTCTTGCTATTATAGGTCCTCTTATATCTAGCAGTAGTAAACGCGTTGCTATCTATATTACTATCTATATCTAGGCCGCTACCTGCGCTAGCGTTATTGCCCTTAGCCTTAGCCTTGCCTTTACCCTTAGTCTAGCTGTTACTGCTCTTGTAAGAACTGCGTACCTATAGTAGATAGTTATAACTCTAATCTATAGCCTTATAGAGGAGTTTCTAAGGCGTATAAGCTACTAGCTAGTTAAGGACTACCTAAAGGCCTAGGAACAGCAGCTAGGTAGACGTTTTATTTATAAAGAAGCTACTAGGATTAGTAAAGTTAGTAGTAATATTATTAAGTATATTACTCTTAAGACAGTTTAGTACCTACTCTATAAAATAACCTAGGCTAAGGTTAGGCTTTACCTTCCTTATAGTAAGATAGCAGAGAATAGATAGGCAGATTAATAGGGGCGTAAGAAGTATAATAGAAGGGTAATAAGAAAGGTAGTAAACAGATTTTATAAGCCTATTAGGGAGATGTATTATATATAAGTAAAAGGTAAGGCAGGTAGCATAGCTAGGAACTACGCTAGGATATAGCTAACATAGATAATAAGCACTAGCCCTAGGTAGGTAGTAGATATTAAGAGTAGAATTAGTAAGTAGTAGACAGAGATAAGGTTTAACCCTATATTAGTAGCACTAGAAGCACTAGTAGTACTAGCTTCTCTATAAAGGTAGGTAAGATAATAGTAGTAAGGGCTCTACTTACCCTATCTTATTATAGACAGTAGGTCTGCAAATTAGATAGACAGCTAGAAAAGTATATTTTATCTACATAAGGTAAAAAATAACAAACAGGTATTACTATATATATATAGTAGAAATAGTTAGTATATAACATCTAATTAACTATTTATCCTAGGCTTATATCCTTGCTAAGGCCTACACTAGGCCCCTAACCTATACTACCTTTAACGTAAACTACTATAGATATATAGTATACTTAGTCTACTATAGTGCTTACTAAGTATAATAACTACATAGGAGGCTAGAAACTAGCTACCTACTACTATATACTAACATCTATTACTATCCTTAGGTATAATCTTAGAACTAAGATAAACCTTACTGTTATTAAACAGTGTCTAGACACCTATTCCCCTCCTTTACTATTATTATAGATAAGGAGAGTATATAAATAAACTATACTATACCTATAGGACAGAGTAATAACTATAGAATAAACGTAACTATAGTATTTCTATATAATAGATAAAAGAACAAATACTCTAACTAGCGTTTTATAATATAATATAGTGCTAACACCCCTTTTAACGCGTTGGCATAACTTTATAGGTCTAGATATATAGTATATAGGTAGTTTACTAGGTTACTAACAGATAGGTATATAAGGTAGGTAGAATAGTAACCTATTTAGTATCCTTATCTTTATTATCTCTATCTTTACCTTATCCTAATCTTTATCCTAATCTTTATTCTAATCTTTATCTTAATCTCTATCTTAATCTCTATCTTAATCTCTGCCTTAATCTCTACCTTAATCCTAGTCTTTTTCTTTACTATGCTCTCTTTCTTTATCTTTATTCTTGCGTTAGTCTATCTCCCCTCTCTCCTTTAGAAGTTATTTTACTAACTATCTCCTTAACCTAGCTACCCTAACTAGCTTATCTATAGCAAGAATAACATCTTCTAGTTAAGTTATTATTAATAAGAACTATAGGCTAGTAATATATACCTACTACTAGTACTATATCCTCCCTAACTAGGTATATACCTACTTTAGTAATTATTATACTAATAATACTAGCCCTATAGAGAAGTAGGAGCTATAGGCTATAGTAATAAACCTCCCTGCCTATACCTCCCTTGCGTAGATATAGGTAATGCTACTCTGTTTTACTAAGCCTATTCTATATATCTAAGGGCTGCGTATCTATAGCAATTTAATTAAATACCTATATTACCTATTAATTAACCTAATAATTATTAGTAGTGCTAGCGTAGGTAAAAATATAAAGGTATACCTTTATAAGGTCTATAACTTTAGTATAAAGAGTAGCTGCACTAAGATAATACTTCTAGCTAGAAAGTAGTAGTAGAGCTAGCACTAGACTAGCGTATTAAGCTAGTATCTTATATATATATATACTAAGTAGGTAAGTTATATAGCTAGCTTCTTTAAAGTGCTTATTAATAAGCTAGACCTAGTCTATACTAGTACTAATAATAATATTAACAGCCTGTACCTAGCTATCTACAATAGGAATACGTATATAAATAATAAAAACAACGCTAATACTAGAGATAACACTACCTTAGAGATTAATAGTAATAGTAATAGTAGTAGTAATACCCCTATACACAGTACAGCTACCCCTATTAAGGTTAGTAACCCTATTAAGCCTGCTACTCCTACCTACCCTATTAGGCAGAGCCTTAAGGAGCAGCTTATACTTACTAAGGCTAAGGTAAAGAAGAAGTACACTATCTATCTCTATACTATTCCTAAAGTGCCTACTATCTAGATAGAGCTATAGCTAGCATATACTAAGTTCTAGTAAGCACTTATTAGCCTAATATAGAAGAATACGCTGCAGTATATAGCTATACCTAATAAGAAGCGTAACTCTGTACTCTACTATCTATATATAATAGTTAAGAGTATAAGCTATATATAGTAGAATATAGTAGTTAAGATAATACATTTAGCCTATATCTATATTATATATAAAGACGTAAACAACGTACCTATCTAACTACTAGAGGTATACTAGAATATAGACCTACGTTACTTTAAGTACCTATAGAAGGTATTTCTCTTCTT